GATCAAAGACATCTTTTTCTGCAAACCGGGCGCCTCCGAGCTCGTCGCTGCCCCCCTCAGGACACTGTGCATCCTTTCCTGGGCAATACTCTGCTGTGTGTTATGCAGAAGTTAGGCTGTTGTTGGACAGAAGTTCTGGAATCGTTATGAATACTCTATGTTCACGCCCAGAATAGAATAAACCAATAGAAAGTTCAGCGTATTCCAGAGTTTTAGGAGATTCTGGGACGTCAGGCAGACGCTGGATAAATCAGCAAGGTGTAACAGGGGGGCCTAACGTAAATGACACATGGGTGGTGGGGGTTGTGGGAGGGGGGCGTTGAAGCATTCTTTTTTTTTTTTTTTTTTTTTTTTATGCGTTGAAGCATTCTTAACAAAGTAGATATAAACAGGACCGAACTGTGAATCTGTTCATGGTTCAGCAAATATCGGTGAGAATGAACAGCCTCTATGGATACGGAGAACATTACAACACAGAAAATCATCAATTATTAAGATGAAATGATTTTTAATATATTAAGATTACCATCATAATGACCTTAGTTTTTGTTAATCGTTTAATACCTAACATTATTTATGTGATAAATCCCAGTTCTGATCATAAAAAGTAACTTTAAATTACTTTATCTTAGGTAACTTTTAACTTCGATTGAGAAGTACTTGAGTTACTATCTATTACTTATGGGTGAGAGTAACTAATAACTATAACTAGTTACCTTTTTCAGTAGGGGATGAAGTGTCATTGCCATAGTTGTAAGAGTTATTTTCTTTAAATTTCTAAGGAAAGACGTGCATTTGTGATTTTGAGAATTCACCCTTTGCTGCGACGGTAGGTGGTCCCAACAGGACAAGGGACCGGAGGAGCGTACAGGTCTCCAAGGAACTCTGGGTCCGGTACGCACACCTGAAGAGACAGGTCCTCGCTGAGCTTAAAGCCATAGTCACTGAAAACAGAAAGAGAGAGACTGAGACCTGCTATTTCCAGCTCACGTCGCATCATTCTTCAAACCCTTTAATTATCTTTATTTCTGGGATGGTGTTTCGCTCCTCTCACCATTCGTAGTCCTGCCGCGTGCAGGAGCAGTTGGAGACGGTGACGGGGCGATCAAAGTCCTCCCCGTTGAAGCAGGTGGCGTGAGGAGCTCTCCTCTTGAAGGTCACCTCTCTGCCCAGCAGACACTCATTTCCATGTTCGTCTGAAGGAGACCAGCGCTTGTAGTCGGCCTCTGAACACGGGACGCCTGGAGCAGGGGGGGGGGGATTTACTATTAGGCAATACCAGGCAGCTGTCAAGGGCCCCAGGTTCCTGGGGGGCTCCATAAAACTCTGTTTCCATGTATGGTTCATACAACTATTCCTTATTTGTGCACATTAGTTATGTTTTTAATAAAAATCCTTTGTCTAAAATGCCATCAGACAATAATTATCGGGAAATAAACCACTCGTCTGATCATGAGCTCCATCCCAGGTGCGATCTGAGACTCCGGAGCAAAGCGAAGGCGACGCCTCATTCTGCCACCTACCCAGAACATCCGAGGTGTTGACCTGCAGGATGAGCCAGCTGTGCCTCTGCTCAGCATAGGAGCCGAAGATGGTGAAGATGGTGCTCTTCTCCCCCGGCTCCGTCAGAAGCTGGTACACGTACACCTCCTTCTCCGAGAACTGGAACTCGGTCCACGTCTCTCCTTCGTTGGTGCTAAACCTGCCGGCGACACGTTACAATCCATCCTCTGCAGGACAAAGATGGAGACCAAAGAAATGAGTTAACGTGAGACTTACTTGAGATGTTTGGTGGCGCCTCCCTGTGTGATGGCCATCAGGATACCCCCGTGGTCCCCCCAAGTATAGAAATGAGGGCCAGCCAGAGCCTGAAGACAAAAAACAAGAACATCTCTTGGCTTCTACTCTTCAGACACTCGTTCATTTCACCGTCCCAGAAAGAACAAACACACAAAAATACATCAGTTTTCCTCAGGAATATATGAATATCCAATGCTTTTATTTTGATGAGTCTAATTTCGCCTCAGTTGTAGGATGTAAATAAGATGAGTTGCCAATTGAATAAGATTTTTTTATCTTAAAATAAGATCATTGGAAAATATGCACTTAAAATAAGACAATGCCATTTTTTTTTCTATTTTTAAATGTAAATTGTCTTGTTCCATTGGAAAAGAAGTATTTTTTTCTTAAAATAAATGCATTTTTTCTTGGATTAATCAGTTCAAGACGCCATCTTAGACCTGCTTCAACAAACCTGCTGTAATTTAGACAAGGCAGACAGCAATGTGAGGATCCGGTTCTTTGATTTCTCCAAAA